TCCCCCCTAAGCAGTTACTTGCGGTTTAAGAGTATAGCCCCTGGTTCCAGAGTCCTGTCTGCAAGGAGTTTTGGACGCAGTAAGGAGAAGCAGGGCGTTCAGTCGATTTGGCTGGTGGATCAGGAGGAACGCGGCATTAGTAGGGCGTACAAACCCATTAGTGGAACGCCCCCTACAAGCGTTCCGAATTCCTTTAAATAGGCGGCGGACGTGGAAGTGGAGCCTCGCGGCTTGCTGCCACTTCCGCGTTCCTCCTTGGAACGCATATAACCTCCCCTACAGGGGGAAGGAATGCGTTGATTGGTTCGCGGGCCGATGCGTTCCAACCTGGGACGCAAACGGCCCACGGGACGATTCCGGGAGGCGTTACAGTACCCCCTCCACAAGGGAACACCTATGGGGTTCCTACCCTCGGATGGTTTGAAGGGGAATCTGGAATGGAATCTCCGTATCAGACGTGGTGCATGCACATTCCGGGAATCCTCCCAAGAATCCTCCTGAGGACCATAGCCCTTCCATTGAATGAGGTATTGCAAGGAGTTTCCCCGTCTCCGGGAATCGAGTATCTGATCCACTTCGTACTTGGTCTCCCCCTGCACCTCCACGGGGGGTGCAGGAGGAGGGACCCTATTTGGGAACGGGCTAGACCTAAAAGGTTTGAGCAGAGAAACGTGGAACGATGGGTGAATGCGTAGTTCTGGTGGAAGTATGAGTCTCATGGCATTAGGATTTATAACCTTTTCAATGGCATATGGTCCAATTAACTGTTTCCCCAATTTCTTAGAAGGAACCTTTAGTCTTAAATTCCTTGTGGAGAGCCAGACCTTATCGCCGACTTGGTAAGTAGGAGGAGGACGTCTCCTGAGGTCGTAAAAACGTTTCTGCCGCTCTTGGGCCAGTTTGAGGTACTGCTTCAGGAGATCGTGGGTTTGAGCCAGTTTCGTCACGTAGTGATCGGCAGAAGGAACATTTGGAGATAAGTAGCTTGTGGGTACTTGAGTTGGATGAAATCCGTAATTTGCAAGAAACAGGGTTTATAAGGTGGAGGAACTAGAGGAGTTGTTGAAAGCGAATTCCGCAAGAGGAAGTAGTTCGTACCAATCGTCTTGGAGGTGAGTGGTATAGCATCTCAGGTACTGTTCAAGACATTGGTTAACGCTCTCTGTCTGGCCATTAGTTTGGGGGTGGTAGGCTGTGGATAATCTATGATCTATGTGCAAAGCAGAGCAGAGTGCCCTCCAGAATCTTGATACGAACTGGGTGCCTCGATCTGATATAATTCGGGTTGGCAGGCCGTGTAGTTTGAGGATATGAGCGATGAAGCACTGTGCGGTCTCTTTTCAGGTGGGAAGTTTCCTCAGTGTGACAAAATGTGCCATCTTGGTAGGTAAGTCTACTGCTACCATAATGGTGTCATGGCCCTGGGAAGAGGGTAGGTCAACTATGAAGTCCATGGAAATGACTTCCCAGGGTCTGTTAGGTATTTCAAGAGAAGTAAGCAATCCATAGGGAGGTCTCCGTTCATGTTTGCAGGTAACACATGTCTCACAGGTGTTTACGTACTCAATACCGGTCTTCTTCATGCTCGGCCACCAAAAATGCAGTTTAATCAAGTCAAGAGTTTTGACGAAGCCAGGGTAACCCGCCAATGGGGCGTCATGTAACATTTTTAGCACAGTTATCTGCATGGGAGATGGCACGTACATTTTGGTGTCCTTGTACAGGAATCCCTCTTCATCCCGAGTGAGACCCGGTGGAAGGAGTTCTGGATCGGTGGGCATGCTGTTTTAATCTGTTCTTTGAAGGGTACTGTAGTACAGAGGAACTTTTTAGGTGGAATCACCGGAATAGGGGTTAAGGTCGTAGCGTCTTCTTCGAACATGCGTGAAAGAGAATCAGCTTTCCCATTTTTTGAACCTGGTCGATATGAGATGATAAAATCAAACCGATCAAAAAACAGACTCCAACGAACCTGTCTCCCAGACAGGGTCTTGCAGGTCTTAAGGTACTGGAGGTTGCGGTGGTCTGTAAAAATGGTGAAAGGAAATCTGGTTCCCCCCAGAAGATGCCTCCAAGTCTCACCTTAATGGCTAGTAACTCCTTCTCCCCAATGTAGTCTTCTACGGGTCTCCTGCCTTGTTTGAGAGCCCGTATGGCGGTCACCGCCGTCAATTGTTTTGTGGAGTCCTCATACAGGAGTGACATGTTCTCCAGGAATAGAGGAAATGAATTCAGGAGAGGATCCTCTTTTTCGATATAAGTATCAGCCCAGGCCCTGGGCTCACCCCTGAGGTAAGATATTAAGGTGAGGACTTTCACCCTATCTGTGGGGTATGTCTTAGGCCGTAATTCGAACATTAATTTGCTGGCATTAATGAACTCTCGGTATCTCCGCCTATCCCCAGTGAAGAAATCGGGGGGGCTGACCTTGGGTTCGGGAGCTTCTCTGTTTGGAACAGGATTTGCGGGAATCAATTCCCGTAGCGTCTGGTTCTCTACTCTGATCTCATGTACCGAGAGAGTCAGAGCCTCAACCTTCTGAGAGAGAGCGAGGACATGTGGGGCGAGTTCCGCAGGATCCATTATTTTTTTTAAGGTTACACTAATCTGTCATACACCCCTGTTATCTTCGAGTGGCGTAGTAGGCCTTTTTTCGCCGACTTAAGTGACCTGGGCACCATAGACAGCAACAGTATCTTAGGGTCATCTGCCACCACAACTCCTGTCACCCTGAGATACACATCCAGCACCGCTCGCCAGAATCCCCGGATCGGAGGGCAGCTCCACCAGATGTGGGTCATATGGCCCATAAAGTTATTGCAGCGCCAACAGGAGGCAGAGACATTTGGATAGAATCGGTGAAGGATCTCCGGACAACAGTACCATCGGGTCAAGATCTTCAGGTTTTTCTCATGTGCTGCGCAAGCAATGGAGAGTGAGTGGGTGAGGGTAAACGACTTCACCCAGTCCGCCTCCAACAGAGGTACTCCCAATTCCCTTTCCCACACGGCGGTGTAGGCCAGCAGGGCAGGGGAGGCTAGGGAGGAGAGAATGGTGTAGAGAAGAGAGACCGAGTGGGTCAGAGGCAAGGATGCCTACAGACGAGAGTCCAAGGCCGTGGGGGCCCCTCCGTAGACATCCACATCGGAGAAGGTGGAAACAAAGGAGCGGAACTGCCCTTCAGCCAGCCAAGCTCCCCCTACTGTGTCGGACTGGGCCCCTCCTGCCCCATGAAGGTCCGTCAGGGTGCAGACCAAACAACGGTGCGAGCCCCTTGTCCAACGTCCAAAAGAGGAGCCGGACAGAGCCGGAGGGAAAGCAGGGTTACCAAAGAAAGGGGTCATGGGTCCCATGTAGGAAGAGACACCGAATCGAGTCACACAGCGGTCCCATAGTTTCAAGGTATGTGCAGTCCGAAACGGGAGAGAGGAGTACACTGGCCTAGACCCTGGAACTATCCAGGGCAGGGCCAACAGGTCAAATCCCGCCATGGCTTCCTCCAAGCGGACCCACTGTTTAACCTTGGCATGGTGGAACCAGTTCACTACGCATACCAAAACCGCAGCATAGTGGTAGAGACAGATGTCTGGGGCGCTTGCACCCCCTCTGAGTTTCGGCACCGCAAGTGTCCTATAGCTGAGCCTATAGGACACGGCGGCAGTGCGGCTTACACATCCTTTGCAGAAGACGTGTATCCAAACCTCTGTCATTATCCTTAGTGGTGAGACAAGTTGTTTTACATGCTGGTTTGTGAGTGTGCCATGATGCCTTTCTACTGTTCTACTATAGCTGAGCCTGGGGCGAGACGTTCCCCATACAAACTTAGTAAAGACCTGCTGGAGTTGCCACAGATGGACCGCTGGGACAGTGATGGGCAAAGTTTGAAACAGGTATAAAAACCTAGGGACAATATCCATTTTAAGCGCGTTAATACGGCCCAGCCACGACAGGAACCTGTGGTCATACAAGGCAAGATCTCGAGTCGTCTTCTCCAGCAAAGGCTGGAAGTTCAGAGAGTGGAGGGCATTCAGGTCAGTAGGCAGGTGGACGCCAAGGTACTTCAAAGAGGTGGGGCAAACCCTAAAGGAGTAGTTACCAGCCAGTTGTTGAAGGGCCTCCGTCCCTAGGGACACATTGAGTATCTCCGATTTGGAAACGTTGACCCGAAAATTGCCTAGAGAGCCAAAAAGAGAGAATTCCTGCAGAATAGTAGGTAGTGCAATATGGGGCTGCGTTACGTAGAGCAGTAGGTCGTCTGCAAACAGGGCAAGCTTAGACCTAAGTGTGCCCACTAAAATGCCCTGGAACGTGGGGTTCTTGGCGGTCCGATGGGGGACCGCCAAGTGTTCCATAGTAAGGATATAAAGGAGGGGGGATAGTGGGCAGCCCTGGCGTGTGCCATTGAAAATTTGAAAGCTAGGGGAGAGGGAGCTGTTGACGTGGACCCGAGCCGATGGGCAAGAATACAAAGCCATCACGTTTCTCAGCATATTGGGACGGATGCCCAGTTGCAGCAGAGTATGTTTAAGGAAGGTCCAGTCTAGACGATCGAACGCCTTATCAGTGTCAACTAACAAGAGGCAGAAGGGGACGTCGGATGTCTGGGCATAGCGCATCATTAGCAGAGTCCTAATGGTGTTATCCCGCGCTTCCCTACCCCGGACAAACCCTACCTGGTCGGGGTGAACCACCCGGTAAGAGAGGTTGAAGATGGTTGGCAATCAGTTTGGCAAACAGCTTCACGTCAACGTTGATCAGCGATATTGGTCGAAAGTTCGTACAGAGGGAGTGGTCTTTGTCCGGTTTAGGTATTAAAGAGATATGGGCCTCCAGGGTCTGTCATGGAAAGGAGGCCCCCCGAGCAAAGGAGAGGATGATTAAGTATATTTTCTCTGGATTATTATGAAACAGATAACATCTCAAAGTGTTTCAATACCCTCAGAACTACACTGTTGTTGATGTTATGCTTGTAAATACATTCCATTAATGCAAACACTTACTTCTTCTACATAGGTATCTTGATGCACTTTATAACGGAAACTGGGTTCCATTGGATTCTTCAACATGTTTTTAGCTATGCTCTTATTCGTATAATATTGAACAAAACGCGTCCTTCTCACTAGTACATGCAGAACAAAGCAGAAAAGCTCCAGTGCGATGGAAATTAAAAAAAAGATAATAGTGCTCTCTTTCTCATCTGGTAACAAGAGCTTGGTGAAGATACGGCTGAGTGAGATGATTACTCCTGCAGTACCTGTAATGAGAAATGAAATTTTTGTTACTGTTAGTTGAAGTGTGTAGACAATATCCAATTCCCATAACGAGACTGTTTAGGAGTACAGGTATAGTTCGCTTAGAGCAATATTAGTGTATCAAAGGTATATATGGAATACAGGAACTGGTTAGAAGGGGAAGATGCTGTGAAAAGTATGAAAGAGTAGCATATAGAAGTATAGCAGTAAGTGTTTCAATGATGCATATATTATTAAGTCTAGATTTCACCGCATGAAACCTAAGTGAATGGGTATTCCATGCCTTGGCGAACATTTGTTTCATAGCGCTAAAAATATGTGATTAGATTAGAAGCTTGTTTTGAAATCCCAGTCATTTTCTGAAATAATAGAGCTTGCCAAGGGTTTGGATTTATATGGAGTTGAAGAAAAGAGTTAATGTATCGATTTATATTAGTCCACAGAAAAATGTGTTTTCTTCATTCAGTATTTCCACTTTCTTTAACAAACAAGTGTACATTTCTTAGTGTAAAATAAATGAAATACTAAGCTGTGAAAATGGATCCCCTTGTAGTGACTACTACAGGTGTGGATGCCAGGGAAATAGAGAAGAGCAGAAATACCACCACCACTGTTCTTTAAAGATATAAGAGAGTTAGAATGATTGGCTATATATATGGCTATATATTAAGCGTAAATCTGAAAGCATTAAACAATGTACTTACTTTCTCCTGTCATCACACCTTGTGTGTACCGCTTTGGTAACATTCCAGCATAGCCATAAAAGCTGGATTGCTGCACTTAGAAAAACATAAAATAGTCATAAGATATTGTGCATATAAAAACAGAAAACGTTCATATTTTTTAAATCTTTGCTTCTGGTCCAATCAAAAATATACTGCTTTGTTTTAAAACAAAGTTGTAAAAATCACTAAATAAAACCAAGATATTCCTGAAATAGAGCAGTAAAGCTACAAACCTAATACATGCCGGGCCTTCCTTAGGCGCCCTGTGCGAGAAAGCTTTAAAGTGCCACTTAGTGACCACACCCCTCATTGACCACACCCCTCAATAACCACACCCCTCAGTGACCATACCCGTTTCTCCAATATACGCACCATTTAAAGACTCTCATTTTGTTAATTGATAGCTGCGACTTCTCTCCTCCTCTCTCCTCACCGCTCGGCCATCCTTACAGCAGGCAGTGCGGGCTTCAGCGGACATTTGCTCCTCGGATCCCCGCTGCCTGTATGGAAGGAGGGATCGCTGTCATGTCCGATAGCCGAGCAGTGAGGAGAGCAGAACCTGCAGGCTGTGCCGCCCGAGGGCCTGTTGCCATGGCACCCTGTGTGGCTGCACAGCTCCAACACCCCAAAGGCTGGCCCTGAATACATGAACCCTTAAGAGCTATGCTTCAGTGCACAATGCCCATACTTCATCATGCCCCATGAGCCCTAACCAGGGCAAACAATGACCTCAGCTTACAAGTCAAGCTCTGACTCATCCCCTTAAACACCTCCCACAACTCAAAATAGGTCACTCAACAAGACTGGATATTTTATTTAATATTATCATATAATTGTACAGTAATTAATCTCTGTCATTCTTCTATGCCAATTTTCATTTTTAAAATGTTCTCTTTTATCATAATTTTTATTATTGTGTCTGATGCTGTAAGAAGTAAAAAAAAAAAAAAAATCCACAGCACACTCTCTAGCTAGTCACCACAAAACAAAAACATGAAAATAATAAAACCGTTTCAACATCTCATGTTAGACACAAAGATTTATGTTGCATAGATTTGCAAATACATGCAAGTGGCACAGATTCTCTAGTAATGCATGTGGAAACGTCATGCTATCCACAATACAAATATAGCTAGAGTTTTAGAGACCATGGGGTTGATTCTTCTAAAGGCAAATAGACTGTTTACCTTGCAAGGGGATTTGCACTGTTAAGGTGAAGTTTCCCCTTAGCTTAGTGAATGTGATGACATTTCAATTTGCAATGAATATGCAATCATGTAAGGAAAATAAAAAAACAGCACCTTATTGGGTGATGGAACTTATCAGAGTTTAACCCCTTCATTCAGCTTTTTTTCAGTTTCTGTTCGTAAATGACTGAAGCACTTTTTACTGAAGCACTTCATTGATGAAAGAAAGAAGCTTTTACAAAAGCGTATCTATTTAATTAATGGATGCCTCAATACTGAGGCACCCATTAATGAACGGTAACCGCTGATTCTCATTACTATTGAAGCATGCATTTGTCAGAAGACGCTGCACACTCTGTCCAACCAGCTTTACAAGGATTTGCTAGGCACATCACATGCCACAACAACACGTGTTGAAAAGAGAGAATTAGCTTTGAGACTGGGACCTGGTGCATCACTGTATATTTATTTCCATAACTTTTACTTTTCAATCCAAACTTCCTTGTTGCCAAATGCCCAAAGTTTGGTGGAGGTCCAGAAGACCAAAGCTAAATAGATGCCTGTGACTTTCAACCTGTGAAAACTTAACATTAAATAGTCCTTCCTATCTAGGAATAGCTGGAAAAGAACAGAATATAGACTTGGCTCTTAAGTGTCCCTCAGTGAGTTGGGAAACCATCGCACCATTTTTATCTCCTTAATTTCAAAGTGCTCAAATGTTGAACTCAGAGACATGCAGCTTGATGCGAAAGGGTTATATGTCCTCATATTGGACAATACAGTCCATTCCAATTCTACTGTTGGTGTATTATAAATTCCCCATACAACCAAATATTGTAAAAGCTAGTGCCTTTTTGGCCACCTAGTACTCCACGACTACAATTAGGGTAGGTGAATGGGGGATGGAGTCAAGTGTATGATCTTATCCTACTTGGTAAATTGATGCAGATTTGGGACTTGTAGATACCTAAAGAAGTCTTCATTTATTTTTTAGCTACTGTCTAGTCTTTCTAATACATTTCTCAAGATTAGCACTCTAGAATCGATTCTGTTCTGCCTACTCAAATTTGATTTCCTGAAATGCTGGATATCGAACACCTCCCCCACTCTACTGCTGTTTTAAACCTAATGTATTAACTAGACCATACCTTTTGCGCTAGAAACGAAAAACATTCTGGTTTAATCACATTAAGTAAGGCTATTGATCTATCCATGTCCATCAATATTTAGACCTCTGCAACTAAAACTGCTGTCTGGTAGAGATTTAAAGCCCAGTGCCAGCCAAACATTTTTTAGGGATAAACAGTAAACAGTATATTAATTTCGACTGTGAAATGTTTTTGTATTTCATTTGTGATGTTTGCATATGACTATTAGTGGTTTGTAATATTTTTTGCAAATTCACAACAATAAACAGTTGTTATATAAAAAACAGGTAGTACTGATAAATACAAAAATGTACTGAATATTATGAAAACAACATAAAACTATTTCTAATTATTACATATTAATAGTCATTATAGGGGGCAGTGGCAAACTAACTGCTCTGACAGCCGCGCAAATAATATCGGGCACTGACTGTTTTATTTTGTTTTTATAACTCTCCTGCACCAACTCTGCCACTTTTCCCATTGTCTCCATTGACCTGACCTACATAACCTATATCTTGATTTTTTTTCTTAGGACATGGTAAAATATATACCGGTAGTAGTAGCTTGCATAGCAAAACCTTTTTGGTGGGGGATTTTTTTTTTCTTTTAAAGGGTATGTAAACCCTAACAATGAACTTCATATAGCATCCACTATATGACAACTTTACATCTGCCTAATCCATCATCTAGAGATCATCAGCAAAAGTGTTGGTAGTCAGACTACTGGCTAATGCAACCCTTACTGTTCTATTACCAAAATGTAATAATACATATTTACAAATAATAATATTTAAATGCATTTATATCATTTACCTGTGCATCCAAAAGCCACCACGCCAACAGCAAAAAGATTAACAGCATATGACTGCTTGAATGTAAAGAGTTCCAGCCAAATATCACAGATGCCAATAAATATTAATGGGCTCAAAGCAAAAATATATCCTGTAAATTAAAAATAACAAATATAAGAACAAGTCACACTGATATGATTAATGTATTAACATTCATGAGCAAATATACTAGTTAAAAGATTTTGGACTTCAAAGTTAGGATTCTAGATGCATTCTCCAAGAAGCCATTCATTCTTTATCAGTACCAAAAACGTATTAAATTTCACTGCGGTATTTACTATTAGACACAGTTGGCTTATACCTATAGGCTCCACACATGCAAAAAGCCAGGTTTTACCGTGTATACCGTATATACTCAAGTATAAGCCGAGTTTTTCAGCCCATTTTTTGTGCTGAACACTCGAGTATATACGGTAGATTTCAGCTAGGCATTTTTTGCCATGATCGTTAGAACTACAAAAATATTTTTTTATTGCCTATTTTCACATTGTCAAAATATTGAAGTTTATGGCTGGTAAAAAAAAAAGATAAAACAAAATAAATAAACTGCCAAATTCTAAAACAGTAACAAAATGCACACTCCTAAAATCCTACTTTTCTCTTGTTTTTTTTTCAGTGTTGCTTGAACCATTTGCAGAATATAGAATGTAATAATACATTTTTTATTAGTGAATTGTTTTTTTATGTGCTATTGTAT